ATAGAGCTAGCATTTTGTCCACAGACAGTCCTCCGTGGTCACATGGCCAGTGTGACTAGACATGGAACACCTTTTACCTTCCCACCAAGGTGGCACCTATTTATCTACTCACATTTTTTGCATTTTGCATGCTTTTGAACCGCTAGGTTGGCGGGAGTTGAGAAAAGCGACGGGGGCTCACTCTGTCACATGGATTTGATCTTACGACTGCAGGTCTTCTGACCTTGCAGCACAGAGGCTTCTGCGGTTTAACCCGCATAAGTGCTATTCAGACATTATTTTTTTTTTAAAAAATACCCTTTTTACTTATAAATGAAAATACAACCAACTAAATAAATTAAATTGCTTAAGCTCATGATTATTAAAAATATACATTGAATACTGAGAAAAATAAATTGCCAAAGGTACATAAGAGATAAATCAGGAAAAAGGTGAGCTGTATCACAGCAAGAGCAAGAGTTTACTACAAAGAAAGGTATTAGTCAAGGATGCCATCCATAGAAATGACTGGGGGAAGGGTAGAAACTTTATTCATTTATTATTTATTAATTTAAAATGTTTTTATCCCCCCTTTCTCCTTAAAAAGAACACAAGGTGGCTTACATCATTAAAAAGACAGTATTTAAAAACTAAAAACAGTAGGTATGCAAAATATTAAAAAAGAATTAGAGTATTACATTAAAAACAGTAATAGAATGAATACTAAAAGACATTTAAAACAACAGAACAAAACAATCCATTTAAAAAGCCCTTTCATACCACCAGTTATTAAAGCAAAGCGTGCCTGAAGAGAAAGACCTTCGCCTGCTTACAGAAGGAGAGTAAAGATGGAGCCAGGCTAGCTTCCCATGGGAGAGAGTTCCAGAATCTGGGGGCAGCAAAAGAGAAGACCCTCTCCCATGTCCCCACCAAGCACACCTGTGAGTGTGGTGGGGCTGGGAGAAAGGCCTCCCCTGATTATCTTAATGCCTGGGCAGGCTTATAGAGATGCGGTCTTTTAGATGGTTTAGACTTAAGGCTTATAAAAGAGAAATATACAGAAAGGGATGAGTCATGACCTTGAAGATTTCTTTAATATCTGATTTATTGTGTTAACTATTCCATTATTGTCCAGAGAGCCATGCTTTCCATTTCTTTAGTGATTGGGTTTATCGATCGACCGACCGACCGACCGACCGACCGACCGACCGACCGACCGACCGACCGACCGACCGACCGACCGACCGACCGACCGACCGACCGACCGACCGACCGACCGACCGACCGACCGACCGACCGACCGACCGACCTGTCTGTCTGTCTGTCTGTCTGTCTGTCTATCTATCTATCTATCTATCTATCTAATCAGGTCTTTTTGACCTGCCTGTTCTTTTGTGCCTGTTTTCTGTATACATTTGTTTGTGCAGATAATGCTTATAAGAGCTTGCTCAGAGAAAATGAACTAATTTTACACTGCCAGATTTTTTTAATAAAAAGAGAGAAAAGCCTTAAAGCATTCTCTGGGTGGTTTATAATTTAATTATGCTGGTTGCACATTGTCCCCTCTCCATGTGCTGGGTACTCAATTTCCCAACCTCAGAAGGATGGAAAGTTGAGTCAGCTTTGAGCTAGCTACCTGAACTTCTCGTGACTGAACCCATGTCATGACCAGAGTTTTGGCTCCAGTACTGCATTTTAGCCACTACACTACAGGACTCCTTAATATTAAATCTTCCCCTGACCATGCTTTTTGTTCAAATTTCACTTATATAGCTCTCCATGGACTAACTAAAGACCTATATTCATTCTTTATGACATATACATGGCCTCGCACTTCTTAAATTTAGATCATTTTGCTTCTTTGCAACGTCTGTGTAACTGATCAAGGGTGCCGAATTGCTGTTCCGAAAAAAACTGACTCATCTGCATAATCAGATCTGTTAGGTTCCCTGGATTATACTGTCTCCACATCTGCATCCCTGCTGAGTAACCAGAGATGCCTAAGAACTATTCACACAAAAACACTGTTGCCCTTTCTCCCATGTTAGAAAACAGATTCAGTGGTTTGGTTCGGAGCGTACAGAAACCCAGAGTCTAAAAGTTCCTGCAGTCCTCTCCTGGCCACACCAATAGCTTTTCCAAGGAAGAATTTTTTTTTTGAACCTTACAGAAGTGTGAAGATTACATGTGACTTCACCTATCAGCTAACCCTCAGATGTCATTATGGCTGGATAATTTATATATACTGAGGTTAAGGACAGGGGAATGACTGATTAAAAAAAAGTGAAGGTCCAACAGAGATTGTAAATAACATTTGCATGGTGGCTTAGGGTGTGGCAAAGGTAGAAATGATACTCAACCCGCGTGCTTTGTCCCTGTTCTACTTGTTAAATGAGGCCTAAATGATCTGAAAGGAGGTAGGATATTATTAATTAACTAGCCATTCTCTGGCTGAAACAATTAGACTGTGAATAGTGTATCATCTACTGATAGGATAGTTAAAATATAATACAATGAACTGATAGGGGGATGGTTCACTCTATATAGCTGCAGTCCTCTAGGTAACAATACACTGCTCGTGATAGGACTACCTAGCAAGTTATATACATGGAGGAAATCAAGGGTGTGTAAAGGTATGATTGTTTATTTTTCAAGAATCGTATTTCTTTCTAACTTTCATCAGCTAAATATGTTAATTGCTGGTTGTTTAATGTGTTAAGCTTGTTATAGAACAGAATATCCCTTTAGAAGATAGCTCTCTTTAGATAATATGCATGCCTTTACAGGCTATAGATTTCTTAAACTCTTTACTGTATGCCAGTATAAAGCAACTGAAATAAGACAGAGAAGTAGTAAATTAATCTGGTATTTGCTTGCGGTTCTGTGAAGAAGGATCATATATTGTAATCATGAGAATGGACGATCCCGGTGGAAAATGGGTTGTATTCTGATCGCAGTTCTGCATGCTTAGTAGCTTCCTAGTTGGATTACTGCAGTGTGTTCGATGTGGGGCTACCATCTGAGGTTGGTTCAAAATCATGTTAGTGTGAAATAAAGCTGCTTGACTAGAAGCCTGGAAAGGTGTGGGATACTTTGTGAAACAGATGCACATTGAGAAGGATGTGGTAGGAATCATCACTCCTTTGCATGAATAACATGGCCACTTGGGCACCACAAGAGAAGAGGAAGAACATAGCTGAAACTTTTTTTTGTATAAAAAGTTCATATATTTTACAACATTTGAAAGATAAAGCCCACCACCTGTAATCCAGTGGATATAAGATCAACATATGAACATATGGCATACAGACTATATATATAACAGCCATGCACAGTTGCTGTCTGTATGCCATATGTTCATATGTTGATAATGTTGTAAGGTCCTATATCCACTGGATTATAGGTGATGGGCTTTATCTTTCAAATGTTACAGTGAATGAACAAAATCAGTCTTTTTGCAGTTATAAGGGCACAGAAAGTTCATCTGTGCTGGTAGGTGTTTAATCTCCAAGAAGCAGATATATAATTTAAGAGAATATAAGCATCAAAAAGATCAAAGGCTGGTCCAGTACAAAATTAATGCAAGTAATAACTCCTCTCCAAAATGAGTTTATGACTGGGTATGCCCATAGCGTATGACTGAGATGCATCAAGAGAACCACAGTGGCTTCTCAGGCCAAAACAAAATTTTGTAAGATTTGAAGTGCCACAAGACTTCTTTGTTCTTCCTGCTGCTACAGACCAACACACTTATCAATCTGGAAATTTCTGTTAAGCAATAATTTTCTAAATTTTAAGAAAATAAGAACGTAGATAAAGGATTTCCAAAGTCAATCATCAGACCACAAATCCCAGCATCCACAGGGAAGAATTAGGCCAGCGAAAATGGAATCAAACAACTATAACACTGCAGTGTAGATACCTCAAATGGTCAGAATCTTTTTATTTACACTTGTTGCTATTAAGGCCATCAGCATAAATCTCAATGGTGAATTGCTAAGAATTTAGAGGCTGTCAGTTGCATTTCACAAGAAATGCAAGCACTGACTTCTTCATTAGTGTCAATTCACAGCTGACATTTACACCCATGTAATTTGCCAGCAGGATTCTGCTCAGTGTTTCTTTACCCCATTGCAAAAAAACATTCGCGCATTTCCAATAATACTTTAAACTGATTTTAACATTCCTTGGAGTGTTCTCCCACCCTGTTTTTAGCTAACAAAGCAAGCTGTCTCCCCACCAGCTTTCCCCCTTGTCGATTAGCCTATGCAAACAAATAAAATGCTTTTATCCCAGTGGTGAAGACAAGATGAACTGCTGGTTCATTGATCTGAAAGCTAGAGATTTTTTTTGAAAGGAATTTTATTGCTAGTCATAGTTAAACATTAATAGCACCATGGTGTTGTTCACACAAGACTGAGCAGTTGGCTGTGGAACCCTAACACTTTGACAGTCAGTGTTTGTCAAAGATGGGCACCGTTTCTAACTTTGCTAAGCATTCTATCTCTCTGGGGAGTTATGCCAAGATGAGCAGCTGGTATAATTATTTCCTTTGAATCACGAGCTAAGAGATCAAACCTGCACTATATTTTAATTCCCGATTCTTGCTGGTTACTTTTTACAAATGCATATTACCAACCAATCCTAAACCTTTTTTTTTTCAAGGACTTAATGAGGGTACTGATAACTATTATCAAAGCAGGAACAAAGGTTGAAGAAACATGCCTGTTTCTATCAGTGCAAAGTTTTCCTTCCAAGAGGTATATGCCTTGGTCGATCAGTCAAGGTTTTCCCAATGTTCTCAGCGATGATTCACAACCTTCACCTACATCGCTACAGATAGCTCTATCAACAGGATTATTCCTGCCTTCAAGGGGAAAGAAGAAAGAACTTAATACTTCACTTGTTCCTAAAAGTGTTATGGTTGCATTTTAACTCCTTGGATCAAGGATACAAGCTTGTGAGACACTTAGCTCACAGGGACATTCCTTCCTAACACTTCTCTGTTTTTCTGTCTCTAGATGGAAAAGAAGAAATTTTCTGGACTTGAAGTCACACTGATCACTCTTTTCCTTTTGGCAGCGGTCGTAGCAAGTATTTTGATAGGCCTTCTAGCAACTGGTCATTCTGGTTTTAAAGGTAAATGTGAAAACAGTAACAACGTATGTTTCAGTGAGCCATAAGTGGAAAGTTGCTTCAAGTGATTGTGGGGGACTCTTAAAAGCACTTAAAACACCTATTCTCCAAGGTGTTTCTCATGTGATTTTCTGGTATGCCCTTCAAGAGCCAGTTCAGACCTTCCTATAACCAGTCTACATGCATCTATCTATCTATCTATCTATCTATCTATCTATCTATCTATCTATCTATCTATCTATCTATCTATCTATCTATCTATCTATCTATCTATCTATCTGTCTATCTGTCTATCTGTCTATCTGTCTATCTATCTATCTATCTATCTATCTATCTATCTATCTATCTAATCTTGCCACATCGGTGCAATGCACTATTCTGGACAGTTTATAACATATTAAATAGAAGACATAATGGCACAATTCAAATTGTTGGGTTTAACTTATAAAGCCCTAAACAGCTGGAGTCCAAGCCATCTAAAAGATGCAACTCCCTCTATGAGTTTGCCCAGGAATTAAGATCATCAAGGGAGGCTTTTCTCTCAGCCCCCCCACCCCACCCCACCCAGGGATACTTGATGGGGACATGGGAGAGGGCCTTCTTTGTTGCTGCTCCCATAATCTGGAATTCCCTCCCATGGGGAGCTAGGCTGGCCCCATCTTTGCAATCCTTTCACAAGCAGGAAAAGACTGTTCTCTTCAGACAGGCTTTTCTTTAGTGACTTGTGGCTTGAGAGGTTTTTTTAAATGGATTGTTGTGCTCTGTTGTTTTTAAATGTGTTTTTAGTATTGATTTTATTTAAATATAATGCTTGTTTAATTCCTTGTTGTATAGTTACTATGTTTAGCTTTTTAATGTCATCTTTTAATTATTGCAAGCTGCCTTAGGTCTTTTTTAGGAGAACTGATGGATATTTATGGGTCCTTTATCTGTACAGTGTAATATTAAAAGAATTGCTGGAGTTCCCTGAAGTTGCTTCAGTGAATTGTCTTGATAACAGGTCATTACAAAGAGTGACACATACCGATCAGATAATTATACCAACAAGTTGCATACAATAGGACCTCATTATTAGAGATAATGAGCCATATTTTAAGGTATTGATATGACATTCTATTGTGCAGCTCTCCAGACATTCACCGTAATTTTCTATGATCAAAGAAAATAAATCGGTTTCTCTCAGTTACTACTTTAAACAACCTTCAGCACATTGAAAAAACCAGCAACCCAACAATTAGATCATTGGTCTAATCTCACCAAAGTGTGGGCCTTATATTTGACTCATCATTTAAAGCAGGAAATAAACATTGTGTTCATTCACTGCAGCCTCACAGATGCAAGACCTCTCAAAGCAAGAAACCTTTCTGTAGTCAGTCTTCAGAGTTGTTCAAGGAACAGGCTGCAACCCCAAGCTGAAAAAATCTGAACCTACAACAACTCATTTTTCCTAACATAAATCTGAACCTTCAGCACTGTCTTGCTTATGGAAGAAAGCAGGACTGCAAAGATTGTCTGTTGTTTTCTTTGAAGGGTAGTCTGTATTGGGAATGGGAAGAACACTCACTGAATGTCTCATTCCTGTCAATGTGGGCTGTCCTGACATCATCATGAGACTATTAAACAAGGAATATTCAAGCACCACATTACTCTTTACTAAAGATGGACATGAACTGAACTATGAGCTAGAGATGGGGGGGATACATCTTTGCCTAGGAAGACGAATCCCACTGGCAAAAGCTGGCCCAATTACCTCCAAAATCCACTAGTCCATTTACTATGTGGAATGTGATGCTCATGGCCAGCATCAGTGTCAGTGCTCCAATCTCAACAGTAGCCCAGCTGCCACGGCCCCACCTCCCTGCTTGTCTGGCCAATCAACAGCTGAGCGAGGGGACTTGTCCTCCCACCCCTTGCTGGAGTGGCGGGCAAGCAGGGAGGCGACACTGCAGCAGCCATGCTACTTCTGCAATTGGCGTGCTGATGATGATGCCGGCCACACATACTGTGCACTGCGTTGTAAGTGGACTGGCGGGTTCTCGAGGGGGGAGATAATCATGGCTGAAAATGAATCCCCCATCTTTACTACAAACTGTGCTGCTGCTGATGCTGGCTACACATACTGTGCACTGCATTGTAAGTGGACTGGCGGGTTCTGGAGGGGGGAGATAATCATGGCTGAAAATGAATCCCCCATCTTTACTACAAACAAACAAAAAAAAATCACCCTGAACCGGGCTCATTCATGGTTCATTGGCCCCATTGTGTTGAAATGAAACGTGGTCCCAAACTTTTTTTTTCTGCTTGCCATTCATGGTGTTTTGGCAAAATGGATGCCCTGCCCCATTCCTCCTGCCCCCACTGCCTCCCTACCTGGTCCTGCCACTGCCCCCTCTTCATCCTCTGCTACTGCTGCCTTTAGAGACAGCAGCCTGGCTTCCCTTCTAGGAGCCAGGCCAGCTGTCTCTCTGCAGGGAGGTGATGGGGGCAGTGGAAAGGGGGCAGGTGGCAGGCAGAAGGGGTGGAGGTGTTAGGTTCCCCTCCACCATGCACAAACTGGAAAAAAAATGAACCACAAATCAGTTCATTTTTTTTCCCAAGGTTTGGCGATGGTTCATGGTTTGTGGGTAGGCAGGAACCATGAGCCAGCACAATTCGTCATTATTTCAGTTCCTACCCATTTCTTTTCCCGAACCCTAGCCTGAAAGGAAGGCAAAGATGGCCTTTCCTCCCTCTGCTTGAGAAGAGTGCCCCTGTGCAAATCTAGGGTCCCTTTTCTTTACAAAGTAAAGTTGACACACCCAGAGTCAACAGAGGAGGACTAGCTGATTATGGAAAAAGAAGCCAAGGGCCCATAAAATGCTTCAGATCTTTCAGAGTTCATGAAACAAAGTGGCAGCTATCATCATTTTGTGCAACATTTGCACTTTCCATAATTTATTTAAAACCATTGAGTTGATAGCCTTAGGAAATATATCACTTTCTTGCAAAGTGGGGAGAAAACATTGGGCAAGTCCTCACTCTTGCTTGATGAAACAACCAAGGATTGACCTCTAAAGTCCCCACCAGGAGAATTTATCCTGTCTAATGTCTTTTGGAGCTGGCTGGATAACTCAATGGTTTAGGTACCTGGCTGGAGAGGTTGAGGTTCGCAGTTCGATTCCCCACTGTGATTCATAGGGAAGAGCCATAGGCAAGCTGTATAGTCCTAGGGTGCCACAGAAGAAGGGAAGGGTAACTTACTTCTGTGTATTCTCTACCTAGAGAACTCTGGAAAGGGTTGCCATAGGTCAGAATTGAGTAGAGAACTCTGGAAAGGGCTGCCATACATCAGAATTGACTTGATGGCATGCAATTATGTTATTATTTAAGTGTTTTGTGTAAAGAAACCCAACACATAGCTGAGATAATTTTGTTCATGGCAGCACAACACTTTTGGAAGTGTATGATGGTATAAGGGAGGGGGAAAATGGGATTTTTAAAAGTCTCCATATGGCCTATGTTGCTCTGCTCGGATTCACGGGAGAGAAGATGGAAGCCCCATTTAGATTTTCAGCCTGAAAGCATAACTGATTTGCATCAAAGGGTGATGGCAGCCTGAGGATGGAGTAAGCAACACTTCCAAATCCCTCTCTCACCTGGAAGTCCTGTAGCCCTTTTCATATTCAGTGCACAAGTCTACATAATACTGTAGTTGCATTAAGATTGTATGGATCATGTCATTCTAACACTAATGTGTTTCCAAGTCTGTAACATCTGTTTGTTGGAGTTTTGTTTCATTTTTGTTTCTTTGCTACATTGCATGCTGCCTCTAGTCAATGTGGCTGGAAGAAATCTTTCTGAGCTGGGTTGATTTGTCAACTTACAACAGCATTAACCAATAATTCCTTCTTGGCCTCTGATTCTGCCTCCCCCACTTGAGTAAGTTGCAGTCAGTTAGTCTGTTGACGCCTGCTACTGAAAATCAGTCAGCCATCTTTGTTTTATGTGTTGATTGTAAGTAATGAAACTTTTTACAGCTATCTGAGAGACTGTATGTGCCTGTTGATGAGGAAAAGGGGTGGACTACACTGGGAAACTAGAAGCTAATTCTGCCCTGGGAGTCTCTGCACTTCTGTTTCACTGCTAGAGGAATTTAACCAAAATTTAAAATTCTGCAACACTCTCACATTATTGTGAGAACTAACATAAGGAACTCCAGTGTTTTCTGTTTCGCCCGGCATTTAGTAAAGCCATTAGGAGTTTATTCTAATTTATTATATGATCCAGTCACAATATAGGTCTATGGACTCTAATGGAGATGTTGTTTTTAAATCAATGAGGATTAAAAAGGGTTTAATTTTGGCAGAGATAATACATTCCCCCCTTCTTCTTAAAAAATCCTGTTCTAGTCTGAGCAGACAAATAGGTTGGAAGGAGGGAGGAAGCAAAATGAGCGAATTATTTTTAAAATATAGTAGCTCTAGGAAAATTGGCTTAAATGCAAGTAATTTGTCTGACCTGAGCAGGGAGGAGATCACTGTGTAATAAAGGACTATTGAGAAAATGTTTCTTACACAAGAAATGCAGCTGAAATACTGTGAGGGAGAAAAGGGAAATTATTCATTGCAAAATTGTCTTTAAAAGGTTAGCTGGTGACTTAGCAGGCAGATAATTATAAATGGGAAGATTTAAGTTATGGTGATTTATTTCATTTATATTTGGCCTTTCCTCCTGTGAGATCAAAGCAGCACTCATGGCTCTCCTCTCCACTTTATCCGCATAACAGCCCTATGAGGTAGGCCAGGCTATGAATGAGTGGCACATCTTTTTACAGACTTTAGAATTTTGTTTAAAACACTCTAGCTTTGTAGCAGAAGTGTAAAGATTCACAGAGCAGAATTAGTGTTACATTGCTCAGGTAGGCCACCCCTTTAACTCCTCAACTGGCACTTGCAGTCTCAATAACTCCCTCTGAGACATTAGTGGTAGAAAGAATAAAAAGGTTTCAGTTGCTTACAACTGAACAGCTCAAACAGCAGACTGACAAAACATAGCTGACTGATTTTCAACAATGGACCTTAAACAGATTAACTGCTTTCAGCAGACTACTAACTGCCAGCAGACAACAGAGAGGGAGGAAAACTGAGCAGAGAGATGGGGCTCTCTTTGAAATAAGTGGCAGGAGGGAACTATTGGTTACCGCTGGATTGATTGACTATCACAGCAGCCAAGAAAGATCTCTCCCAGCCACAGCTCCTTAAAACAGCATGTGAGGTTGCTGTAACTCCAACAGATGTAAGGTAATCCAATGAATTTCAAGGCTCAAAGACAGGCCCTCTGAGCCCTAAGATAAGGCTGTGGCCATTTCATGCTCTCATGGTTTGGAAAGAGAGGTAAAATATGTTAATGTAATCTGAATCTCTCAAATCCCATGCCAGCCGTCCAGCTACTACACCATACTGCCTCTTTCTGAACACTAATTAAAAAAAGAAAAAAAAATCCTCACATAGCTAAAACACTCCCTCCTTTACATGTTCACCAGGAAGCTCTACAGAGGAAAGCTTGGTCTGCCTTATCAGAGTCCCTGATCACAGGAGGTCTTTAATTGCAATTGGCCAAAGAAGCTTCAGTTCAGCTATCTCCTTTGAAAAACTCCAGACTCAGTGTTAAAAGGCCTAAATGATTTCCGGATGTGTGGAGATGTACCTACATTACCACTATTCATTTAGCCTTCAATGAGTTGTGTCGTATGCCTCAGATTCACCTTACTATGAGGCACAGCCAAACACCCACTTCCCATAACTTTTTTACTGCCAGAGACGGATGGTGACAATGACTTTGTTATCATTCACCTTGACTTACAGTGGGAAGGGAGAGGCACCGTTTGCTGCTCCACCTTACATAGCGATGGCTTTCAATTTGTCTAGTTGATTATTATGTAGTCAGATATATGGAATCTCCATGCATTGAAACCTAGGCCTTGTGGCCATAGCAGTAAGCAAGACAGAACTCTGAAAAGTGTTTTTTTTAATAACTCCCAGAGTCTTGCATCCTTTGATAGCCATGTTGGCAAGGGATTCTGGAAATTATTGTCCAAAAAGATGATGTGTATATGTGAGCATGGGGTCACACTAACTGGACTTCACCCACAGTTTCCACATATTAATTATAAATATAATTTGTACAGAAGAGCACCATACATGCAACTCAATATTCATAGGCTTCCATTGTTGCCTATATCCTTTCTGTGTCTCTGTGGAGCTCACATCTCTAGAAGAAATGGTGATGCGGCTGTGCATAAAAATATAATCAAAGTGTGTTTCTAGTTCATTGGCTGAAATTTATTAAACACGAGTCCTTGAGATCAACATTGTTTTACAAAGGCAGCTACAAGGATTTGATTTAAAAATGCTAATAAGTTACAAGAAATGAATATGTTATTGTATTTTGATTATATCCTGCTTATGTTTTCCCATGTTATTATCATTAGCCCTGTTATTATTAGTAGCTGTGCAAGTAGCCATCATAGTAATAACCTTCTCCCTCTTTGTGACAGTCGTAGTAGCAATAGCGGTAATATTTTATGCTAATTCAATAAATGTATCATTTTTTTTTCTAGATTTTTCACCCACATGTCCAAATGTACAATCACATGAGAAAATAAATTGCCTTCCAGACCAAGTGGCAACTCAGGTATGAAAGCTCATTTAGAAGCAGAAGCTTAGTGATGATTTCTTTCTAAATAATAATATAGAGAGTTACAAAATTAACAAGTATGAAAAAATAGAGAAATCTGAATAGACATAACTTTTCTTGTATGATCTCTTTGTAGGAGAAGGGAAGCCTTAATCACTATTTACTGTGCCGGTGACAAGGGGGGGAGGGAGGTATTTCTACTAAGAGAGAAGATCCCTTCAAGGAGTCAAGCATGTACACTAATGGCAATCTACCATATTTTTCCATGTATAAGACACCCCCATGAATAAGGACCCCCCACTTTTCTAACCCAAAATTTCTCCACCCCCCACTTTTCTAACTCAAACTTTCTTTGCAAAAAGCTGCTTTTCCCCTTGCAAAAAGTGGAGGGGGAAAGCAGTTTTTACAAAGAAAGTGGAAGAGGGGTGAAACAACGTTTTGTAAAGAAAATGGAGGGGAAAAGCACTTTCCTCTCAAGAAAGTGGAGGGGAAAAGAAGGAATCGCTTTCCTCCTCCATTTTCTTGTGGGAAAAATTCTTTTCCCCTCCACTTTCTTTGCAAAAAGCTCGCTTTCCTCCTCCATTTTCTTGTAAGAAAAGTGCTTTCCCCCTCCACTTTCTTTGCAAAAAGCGGCTTTCCTCCTCCACTTTTTGCAAAGAAAGTGGAGGAGGTGATTTTCCCCTCCACTTTCTTTGAAAATAGTGGAGGCGGAAAGCAGGGATCAAAGCGCTTTGATCCCTACCCCCTCCTTACTTTCATCTATAAAACAACCCTCAGTTTTTCTAATTATTTTAAGAAAAAGTGTTTTATACACAGAAAAACACCGAATGTTGATTTATTTTGGCATTAAAAGAGAGACTAGGTCTTGGCTAAGTCCCTCCTTTTAAAAGAAAGTGTTTCGAAATTTCAGCAGGTCCAAAATATGGCTGCCAGATTGCTACTTGGGACTGATTACAGGGAGCACATAACCCCCTCTGTTACAGCAGCTCCACTGGCTGCCGAACTGTTTCCAGGCATAATTCAAACTGCTGGTTCTATAAAGTCTTAAATGGCTTGGGTCCAAACTATCTCAAGGACTCCATCTCCCTTTATGAGTCTGTTCAAGTGTTAAGATCATCAGGAGATGGCCTTCTCTTTCTGCTCCCAGATTTCGGAACTTCCTCATACAAGAGGCCAGAATGGCCCCATCTTTGCTGTCCTTCCGCAAGCAGGCAAAGACTTTTCAGGCAAGCTCTCTTTAATGATTGGCTTCCTGAGTGCTTTTTTTTTTTTTTAATGGATGGTTGTGCCAAGAATATGTTTTTGGTGGTGTTTTTGTTTGCTGTCTTTTAGTGTGGTATCTATTCCATCCTTTTTAGTGTAGCTTTAAATGTTGTATTTTAATGATGTAAGCTACCTCGGGCCCTTTTTAAAGGGAAAGGTGAGGTAAAAATGTTTTAAATCAATACATAAATACTTCTCTATAAATGTTTCTCCTCATTGGGTGTCTCAGCACTTGCACTTATGGAGGTTCACTTTATCAGTATTTATAGTGATGCTTTCTTATGAAAAGCATTATATTGTGGGGAAAGAATGATTATTTAGAGCACACATAAACAGACACCAAACTGTCTAAAACATAAGGTGAATTGAGAATTATGAGATTCCTAAGCAGCAGCAGCGATAGTAATAGTAATTGTGATCGTAGTAATAGAATTTCAACTTACATGCCAGCGTATAGTGTTGGATCACTCTTATGTTCAGTTTACAACATAATTATACAAGCAACAGAGCATAACATGTAGCTGTTAATAAATTACTTCCATGCATGGCACTCTGTACATCATGACTGCATATGTATAGTAGAAATGCAGGGTGGGTGAAATCCAAAACCTTCAATGGATAACATCTGTGGTTCAGACCTCTTCTCCTCTTCTTATACTTGAGAATCTCCAATGACCAATGCTTAACTATTTAAACTAGAAAGCAATAGTGTTCACCATCATTTATAAAAGAATTCTAATGTTAAAATTGGTCTTCAAATCAGCATTCTTCTCTATGCCAAATTTGGGGAGGTTTCAACAAACAATTGCAAGTTATGATTTTTTTAAAGCACTGATTTACTCCCATGCAGAAGTATTTGTTGGCAGGTATAAACCAAACAGTTACAGAGTCTGTAGCCAAGTTCTTGTTTTCTGTTGTAAGATCTCATAAAAAAGGCCTTATTAATCTAACTGAGTACTTTTTCTAAATAAGTGTATCTTTTAATAATTATTTTTATCTTGTCCTTATTGTTGTATTGTTTTAACGAATGAATAAGTTAAACCAGATCAGGAGCTGCTCAAATAAACTGAGAACAATTAGTTTTATTTTCTTACCAGATTAGTACTTATCCTACCCTCTTCTGTTGATTCTGAGTAAATCAGTTCTATAGGGGGGGCTGAAGGACTGAACCTTGACAATGAGACTTTTACTGAGGAAAAGTAGTGATTTTTATACCTCTGAGCATTGGAAACTTTCCTCATCCTTTTTTGTGAAGGCTGAACCACTTACCCATCTCCTGCCTTTCCTGGAGGTAACCCTTTGGCCTTGCTGGAAGAAGGAAATGGGGGATTGTGGCCACCACACTCACTTTGTGCCAGTCACAAACACTAATCTAGCCAAGTCAACCTTCCTTACTGCCTACCTGAGACTTAATGCAGAATTTGGACTCTGCAGTTGTGTTCAGGCCCCGTAGGGAAATGCTGAGGTTGTTGTTGTGTCCTCAAGAAACTTCTTCTTGCATGTTTTAGAAGGGGCAGCCATGTTAGTCTGTGCAAGCATCATAGGTGTGTGTGGGGGGGAGAGACAAAAGCGGGATGGCACCATAAAGACTAATTTTTATATTTTCTTAATGTGAGCTCTTAAGAGCTCTTATCTGAGATGAAGTGGACTTGTCCACAAAAGCTCACATTGAAAAATATGAAAGTAAGTTTTTAAGGTGCCATGATATTTAAAAAAAAAAAAAATTAAAAAATGTCACCTATAATACTTATTGCATGCAAGCTTGAGAAAGGGTGCTGAGATAATAACAATCTTGCATCCACTAGCACTGGTAACCGTGTGAGGTGATTGTCCCCTGCCATTAACTTATTGTTGAGGTTCTTTTTCCTGCCTTTAGCTTTCCCCTCCTCTCTTTCTGTTTGTATGCTGCCCGTCCTTTGTTTGTTACTTTCTCTCTTTTTTTCCTGACCTGCAAGCATTAAGGAAGCATGGAGGAAGTTCTCTCACATGTGGACTCTCTAGATTTTTTTCTGTTTTTCACTGTCTGTAAATATAGACAGCAACTGTATGTAAGCATACATCTTTTATTTTTAATTTAACATTAAAAATCACTTGCTAGTCACTGTGAAAAGAGGTGAGCTACTAAACGTAAGCTATTCTCTTGTGATTTCTTTGTGCAGTCGTTTGTATCTGATATTCAGCTGATTATAAAATGAATTAACCAAATTTCCCAATAAAAGATGCAATCACCTAAATTGCCCCAATTTAAGCCATTTCATTTCCCTCTCAAAGAGATTCAGGTAAATACCCAGTAAGCATTATTTGGCAGGAAAAGATATGCACCACACATACCTAATAGTGACTTAAAACTTGATGTTGTAACAAATATTACTTCTTTTTGTTAGTCTAGCCTCTAAATCTGGATGTGGTGTGCTCCACTCTTGAGTTTAAAAGAACTCTGACCCTGAATAACACATGAAAGGAAGCTGGCTGAGATCTCTTTCTAGACCCAGATGGCTAGCACTGCTGTGCACTGGATTTCATGCGTCAGAAGCAATCCACGTGCATATAAATGCCTGCAGGATGAACAATCAAATACTTTTAAACTGTAGAGAGATATACTTGGGTACACACAGTTCACCTGAAAGACAGATTCTGTCTTGGCATAAAGATTGCCTTCTGCCCCAAGCAATTGGTTCCTAGAGAACTGGTCAAAAAACAGCCACGTCAATTCCTTTGTGTTTGGGTGAGAATTGGTTAAATGATGAAAAAGGGAGTCAGGATCTGGAATTTTCTCTTGCTTGATGTCTCTTTGTGAGTGGTAGTCAGCATTAGAGGGTAACCTGTAGACCATCTTGACTGCTGACATCGGTGTTGTTAACATGCAGACTGGCCTTTTCTATGTAAAGTTTGGCATCCTTTTTCTTGATGGCAATGTGGGCCCAACATTGTGCAGCAATGCTGAGCCATTTCCTGGTGTTTTGAATCAATATCCCACATTAATAAATTGGAGAGCTTTTGAAGGTTTAAATAATAATTCTTCTCTCTGGCAAATGTCCTTCCTCCAGTAATACAGTATTTGAACATCATGAACTAGTTATGCTATTAAGGGTAAAATTAACTGTAGTTGAGCTTTGACCTTTCATCTTTCTTACCTTTTGGGGCTAGGACTTTTATAATCATAGTGTGGTTAACATTGAATATTACTAATGAGATCTTTTGATTCTTTCTCATTATCTTTTATAAGAGTTAATTTATTTTACAAGGATATGTACACAGAAATGTTATTTTTATATTAACTTCTGAAAGGTGTACAATATTGCAGATTGCAATTGGAAATGCTGAGTAGTTCCATTCAATCAATGCAACCTACTATTTGCTAAGTGTTTCCCAAGTTCCTATTGATTGAATGGGCTACCTTATTCAGGACTAATAGGTGAATTTAGATGCATTGGCTGGTGCTTTGTATTGATTAAAAGTGCCCAACATATTTGGCTGTTTCAGCAAAGATCGCTGCTCACAAAGATTTTGAACCAAGATTATGATCAGGAATAGCACAACTCCTTTCATTTCTCCCTCACTTAAATGATTAGTGAACGGGGCTGCTGTGGGACTTCTAATTAAATTTGTCGCTCTTCTTCAGGGAACTCAGATGGGCAAAGCTCAATACAGCCTAAATTATTATGAATGTACAACACATGGTTCATATTTACAAGTTAAGGGGCAAAAGAATAGCAGATAGCATAGCAACCGGC